AAGCCCTGAGCCTTCTCGAGGACACCCGATATCAGCTCTATTGTTTCCTCTCTTTTCAGCCACTTCCCGAAAGTCATGAGAAATATCTATTGTCCGGCAACGAGGCGTTCATCGAGAAGCAGTGGCCAGGCCTACCAGACTTGGTAAACATGAAAGCGACGGATATTAGTCGGGATGACTACCGGTTCATGCAGAGAGCCCTCCGAAACGTTATTGGAGAGCAATATGCTTTGGAGCAGTTGAAAGTCACGGTTATTGGCCAGACGTTCATGAGAAGCTTTCCAAAGGAATTACAGCATTCCTTTGGTAACGACGCTCTGATTCCTGCCCCATTTTTGACTCATCGAGATATGGCTCTAAGAATTTGGATGCGTTCCAGAAAAGAGGGAGATTGGTGGAATTGTGCGCGAGTGCGTCAGTTCATATTCAGATTGCATGGCGACTGAACTCTTGTATAGGACAAATACCTCTCACCTCCGGATGGTTTCAGGGAGTACTGCGATGACGAACACCCTGATCGAACCGGAATCTGGTACTTCGAGATTTGGGTTCGCTTTCTCTCGTCAAAAAAGCGTCCACATTTACTAAAATATTCAAACAGCGTCGATACAAGGAATTTGAAGGTAGACAAGACGAAGCTCAAGGCCAACGTCAATGGTCGCCACATGTGCAACCAGTGATTAGTAGCTCTCAGACAAGCGAAGTAGAGGTAAGTCTCTGCTTCGGGTTTTCTATGGCTCGCAACTAACCATCCATAGCTCGCCAGTAAATGCACAGAGCGACCCCACAAGCGGCAGCGATTACCGTCACAGTCTACTACAATTACGAGGATGATCCTCGATACTTTATGATGACGTACAACTTGTCATTGATAAGTTACTACAATGAACTCAGACATGAACACAGCTGTGAGTGATTCAATGAATGGGCTCTACCCAGCCCAACCTAAGTTCCTATTTCGATGTGCAAAACTCATGTCGGCTTTCGCATATAGTCGAATGATGCCTACCCCTCCTTGTTCCGCAAAGTCCATGGTTCGGAGCAGTAGTGAATATCACTTGGCCAAAAGATCTTCCTGGGTACCACGGCGTTTACGAATCGAAGGTGAAAGAGCCGCTAAAGAGGGTGTCAAGAGGGGAGACATCGATTTTGACCAAACGCGAGGTGAAGAGTAGATTTAGAACCGAGAGGGTGGAATTTAGGTTTGCTTCTTTGTTGGTGTAATCGACGATGAAGGATTTATCCCAAGAGATCTCACGGTCAAACCACCAGGAAAAAGGTTCAGATATTTCCTCCAATTGCGACGTTCCATCGGGCTGGGGGCCTTTGATGATAGAGTGGCGACAGCATATCATCAAAAAGATATAGCATAGCGCCTCCAAATCATGGCGATAAAGATGTGGACCATCACATCGTTCTTTAAGAAGGTCGACAGCCATGTAAGGCGGTGTACCCATGCGAGGGACGGATGTGGCTTCATTGATAGGAAGTAACGACGAGAGGTCAAAGTCATTAAGGACTCCGAAGATATTCCCCTGGCTATCTTTTCGATATCTAATATTGGCCATACTAATGTCTCGATGCAGGATGCGAGGGTGATCATAAAGCCACTTGTGACCTGCAACGAGTCAACGTCATCACATCAGAAAGGGGAATCGGAGAACACGTTCTTCGTACGTTCCTCGGCCACCGATGAATTTACCATCGTGCAACAATTCAGTGATCATCTTCTGCGCCGAATCATTGTCAAACGGGAAGTCTTGCTCATGAAGTATATAGGAGATGGTCTAGAACCCAGTGCCTCCGACTTTCACCAGCCAACTCATTGGATTTCGCCTTGGCTATATCAAGCAACATTTTTTCTGACTTCCGCAAGATGTTCAGCCAACTGATTTTAATGACAAGATTCATGCCAGGCCACTCAAGTTTTTACGGGTCGAACTGTTGCGCGGGAGCCGGGAATCAAAATACAATGTGGAGGCAGGGCGTTTGACCAAGAGGACAAGCATACGCGGTAGAACGTCAGCAAGGATCGATCTTCCCCCTTTGATATCGTCGACCATTGTGAGAATACCTGTGCATCATTCAAAGCTCGCTCCTCGAGAAAAGCCAGCATACGGATACGCACCACGACTATATCGTCAATCCACCCTCAAGGTAATAAGCCGGCGAAGTGCTGCCTCACCGTCACTGCCTGGGAAGGTCACTGAGGCTCCCGGAAAACCATGGTTAGACGAGACCATTGGAAATTATGTCCTGGTTCATGAACATCCTCTGCGTTTGGCCACCCCTTATACATGCAGAAACATTTATCAGTGTTTAGAGCTTGTGCTTTACAGAATCAGAATTTCTCGTCCGACGCTCCCATTCCTTCTGTGCCACGATTCGAAGAGTGGATTTGACTATTTTCCCTGAAGGAGTGTGGACTGTGAGAGGAAATCTCCAATCAACACATGCCCTGCAATAGAAAGCCAATCCAAAACTTACCGAACTCGCCATCCTGCACCATAACCATTATGGGAACGGCAAATTTAGGTAGCCTAGGCAGAATATCATGACTACATCGATGATAAATCCACGAGAGAGCTTACAGCCTCCTCACAACAGACAGAAGCTTCTCCTCCTTCACCTTCCCCCGCCATGATGGTTTAACTGTTACAACAGCGGCTACCAATTCTCCCAGTCTCTTATCGGGTATACCGACCGCCGCTGCTTCCAATACACCTGGGTCAGTATGTAATGCACTCTCAACCGAGACACAGTCCTGTGGTACATCATTAATAATGGAAATAGAAATGAGAGAAAAGAAACTTACGACGTTCTCTCCACCGCGGATAATAATATCTTTGATTCTCCCTTTAATAAACAAAAATCCATCAGCATCTCGATATCCTAAATCGCCGGTCATAAGCCAGCCATCTTGTGTCAGTGCCTGGATTCATGTGTTTGAGTCACTATTGCAGCTGCTACGTAAATTGTTCACCTTATCGGTGGCCGCTACAGATCGTCACTGTTAGCTATGGAAGTGACAGCATGCCAGTGATACATCCATACCTTGATCGCCCAAATATCTCTTCATGACACCAGGACCACGAATCCATACCTCTCCGACTTCGCCTGGCACAGCCTCGATATCTTGTTTCATTATAATGAGATCCGTGACGGGAAGCGGCAATCCACTTTCGAAAAAATCATATCAAGACATACCCAAAGTAACACGTATAAAGACGAACCTGCTTTCTGGCCGAGCCATATAATCTTCCCCAGCTACAAAAGCACTCAATGAGCATTACAGAATAGAATAGTTACATAGTGCTCACCAAGACCAATGGCTGTCGAATTGGTTTCAGTGAGTCCATAAGCATTTGCCCTGAGATTGTATCAGCACGCCGGAGCAGCTGGAAAGCTGAGAATAAACGTACATGACTGCGGAAGGAAATGATCCCTTGGATCTGACAACAAGAGACCCAGCCACAGGCGCACCACCCAAGGTGATATTTTCCATGGGGAATCCGGCCAACTCATGCTCTAAATCGGTTAACATAAATGGGATACTAGAAGACGACGATCAAAAAGAGATGAATGGAAAACAATGAATCGATCAGACCCGCCAAGAGATCTGACATTCTCTTCCCTGCACAATCTAAATACACGGCCTACGTCAATAGAGATGAAGACGCAATTAACATAGTCTACCTTGCCGCTATAAAGATGAAGTTAGCTTTCGAACACGTAGGTGAGAATGAAAACCGCGCCTTCTGATCCGTTCCATTTTCTCAGTAAGACAAGTTTATAACCGAACACTGTCGCATTTAGCTGCGAACATGTCAAGTATGCGGTCTTTCAATAAATCGCATCGCCTCACTGTTATAGCTGTACCCGTGACATGGAAGAGTGGTGTTGATAGTAGAGCACCTTTCTGAGGACCAACAACAGGCGGCGGCGGGAAAGACTCTCCCCGCCTAACAGCATCTCGACCGGAGATAAATGCATTCTGATTGATATCCATGAGCGGAGGCAAGTTGCCCTGTAGACAACAAACATACCGTGAAAATGACTGTCAAGAAAGCTCTCTGGGAGCTTAGGACGCCCTCTACGATGATGTAATTAGCAGAGACACTAGTACAAAAGGAGCGACACGTTACTCGGAAGACCAGTGGTCCCGGATGTGAAAACAATAGTGGCTTCGTCCTCTGGAGTTATCTGAGGATCGTCAAGGCCGGACTCCGGGTTCGCCAACGAGCGAGAGAAGATCGTTCCAAAATTCTCCATGCCAGTCCAGACGCCTTTGCCTTCGTGCTCCTCCATGACGATACAACCTGATGCGCCCACCATGTCCTTGAGACGATCAATGATGGGTTCGATGACGTTCGCTCGTTCAGGGTCAACAAGGATGAGCTTGCATTTTGTCACCGCAATACAGTGTTGGAGGGGTTCGAGTGGAAGCCATCTATACCGAAGACCTACATTCAGGTTTTACCCAGATAGCAGAGAACTAAAAGGCGTACGCGTTTACGAGGGCGGTAACCGCGCCCAGTAGATCTATGTCACCATTGTCAAACATACAGGATATTGAAAAGAGTGAACACACGGCAGGCCCAGAATGCAACGTAATAAGCAGGAGCATTCCTTGAGCAGATAACAACTCGGTCGCCTGTAAGTGATGGTAGTAAGTAAAGATTCTTCTCCTACGGCAGTAGTACTCGCCTTTTCTGACACCATAAATCTCCCTAAAGACTGCAGCACAGTGCATTGACCTCTGGAGCATTTCCTGGAACGTGATCCTCTCATTCTCGTACACGACATAGATCTTGTCCGCGTGCTCTTTTGTCGCATGAAGCCAAAGTGCTCGCGCGGAAGGCCACAGATTTTTGAACACACGTAGAAGGCGGTCCCCAACCACCTAAAATGCTGTATAAGGGCATGAAAGTCAAGCATAAAAGGTAGGCTTAGTTACACGGGTTTCGACTTCAAGCAAACTTCCAGGTGCAGTGAGGATTTTGTCAGCTGTATATCGGATATGATGAGCGATTTGAACAATAAGAAGAAGGAGTTCATGCTATTACCTTCCTCTAACGAACATCGAGGCACCCAGGATTCCGACATGATGATGGGAAGATGGGGAAAACAAAGCCGCGAATACGCCGCTTCAGTTTTGATCGTGAGAGCCGGTTATCGTACGATCCGAACGAAAACACGGGAGTCAGACGATAATCTTGCTTATGGAAGACTCCGACTGTTCAAGGCGACGACTCAGGTCCTTTTTGATGTACTTTTGATGAGAGATGACGAGATACTTGATTGCGGCGCAGAATATAAGCAATAGTAGAAGGTCGGTTTTAAGATATGGCACTATCTGTCAGATAGATGAATGATTCGTTCGTGACAATTGCTATCGCATACCATGGAATATTAGGAAGTAATAGTCAGGGACACCAGATGCGGTTGACGGTACTGAGTGAAGCTCTGTCACGAGGGCCGGCCAGGTGTGGATCCTCCGAATATGGATCAGTGTGCAGCTAATACGGCGATACCATGAAGGACGCACACCTTCAGAAGGAGGTTCGAATTGAGAGCGGTGATGACTAAATCGGGATTATCCGTCGCAATTCTCACAGCCACCGGCGGTACGTAGTAACCCGCGTCTGTTTTCTTCGCTGTTATGATCCTCCCGGCGCCCCTCCTACCCCCAAGGTACCTAGAGAGCATTATTCATTACTGATATCGCACGGAACTCATTTGATGGTCAGCTTCCGGGGTCCTTCAGCATTAATTGCTGGTTACTTGGTTAGTTACAATCGTGACTTGTCTGGATGTACTCGCCACTCCTGGCGGCTGACTAGTTCGCACTGGTCAGAATGCAGCCGAAAATGATATGAATATGGATAACATTCTGACCCAACCTTTGTCCACAACGAAATGCGTCGGAATTTACTTTCAATGATGAAGTCGACAGATTTTGCTGTGCTCAGGATGCCTCAACGAAATTCTATCCGTTATCCACCCATTTTCATCAGTTTTTGGTTCACCCGAAATAGTTGCTTACCAGGAGCGGATCGCGTAACCATCGTCTTCTCACGACAAAGCTTTCGGTTCCTCTGATCAAGCGCCCAACTTCAATCACGGACCCAGCGGCGTGCTTGTGATTTGATTGCCGGGTCACCCGATTTGTAGCAGTCACCGGAATGCGCTCAGTTGAAAACAGCAATCAAACACAAAATTGGACTCCTTCTTTCATCCCTCTGTATCAGTGGCACGCAGCGGGAACTAAACATATTGCGTGGTTTTCTTGGATCCTGAATATCGTGCTCAGCCTGATCGCCTCTCAAAACAGCACCATGGGGATATCCTCAGTCCTGACTCTAATCTATCAGCAGGCGAAGTAGTTGCACCCTGCTCCAAGTACAGATTAACTGAACCTCCTGCTCTGCGCGATTCAACCGAAAACCCAAAATTTATCTCGTGCCCATGAACCTAGATAATCAGGAAAAAGGTAAATAAAACATTGTGGACATTGCCGAACCCCGTTTCAGTTGTCTGCCACGTGTATCGCGAAAATCCATCATTAAGGCCGTATCTCGAATCAAGATACAAGCGGTGATCGACCTTGGGAATTCCGTGAGTCATTCTGTGCCCCATTCCATTTATGACTCTCAGTTGGTCATCCAGTCGTTAAATTTCTGTATCTACCTCAAACTCGCTGTCATTTCGACTCATTCCTCAAGGCCGACACCAAGACACCGGACTTTAATCAATCATTGCCCGGACCACAAGCTTGTGGGTAAAAAAATCGTATTTTTTCATCTGTAAATGTGTTTATCCGCCAGTGGCGGTAGGGCTGGATTCCAGGAACCTAGGACCAACAGGGTACAACCGACCATCGCAACTCGCTTTCCCGATGCGTGCCAAAAAAGACTGCTCAATCAAATCGGGAGGCTTCAGCATTCCGTGCCGTGATAAGTCACCATTCTAATCATAGCACTCTTTCTCTAACATTCCGGAACCTTCCTCACGATTTATCCACGTCAGAGGAGTCAACGAGATGCAATAGTGATCTCGCACGCACGCCTTCCCGGTCATTCTACGACTGCATTCTGATTTTCCGTTCAAGTTGTCATTTCCCATGTAATCGCCAAAAATACACGTGCTTCTCTTCAGGTACTGTCGTCCCCTTTCACTTCCATGTCCGTCATCCATCATGTTCCGAAGTGCTATACTCCCTCCGTTGATGAACTTAAACCTCTCCCTGGGAGTTCCAGAACAGCACGGGACCGGAGTCGGAGACGTCTATATAATGACGAGCCCCACTCGAAAGTGTAGGAGAGCGAAACACAATGCAGGACCTCCCAGTGGATCTTGCGTCTCTTGTAGGTATCTGGTGTACTTCAGTCCTATATGGTTCGTTCTTATCAACATTCAAATAAAAATCCTCTGACCATCCTTCTAGGTGTCCAGTGAGTCCTCCCGTTTACATTGGATCCTGAAAAACAATAATTCCAACTATGCCTCAGTCTAGTTCTCTACCTGAGCTGCGTCAGCCTACTTATCAGGCGAAGATGGTACGATCCCTGATTTTCTTCCGCTGCGAGGAAGTTCCTTTACCAAATTTATCCGCCTCTAGGATCTTACTCGGGAGCGCGACTGTTCAGTTCGTTATCTCAACCGTCCACATTGCGGCGGGCCTGCGTTCCATGATAGAAGCTTTCATCTGGACCAAGGGCCCCAACGGTTCCACAGAGTACTGGGATAATCAGACTCGGTTCGTCAACGTACTTCAAGAATCAGCTACCATCACGAATGTGCGTCGTCTCCGAATTAATGTCCGAGTCTGTTATCATGACTCTTATCGCTGGTTTAGTGTATCGTCGGCGACGTGGTGTTGCTCTGGCGATTATATGTGATTTGGGACAAGAGCTTGATGGTGTCTGTCTTCCCCGTATGTTATTTTTATGCGTACATGGGCTACCTCAAGAGGCGAGGCTAATTGTATTTCCAGGCTCTCATGGTTCTAGCCTTTAGTGGTACGGTTCTTCCCTCTTCTTTCGCATTATTCTCGTCTAACTCCCTGCAAATTCAGTCTGTGGATATATTACTATCTATCATTTATCCAGTCTCATCGCATTCGATCCCGAATCCGTGCACGCTCTATATCGATGGCTCCAGGCTTCCTGGTCATTGTCCTTGGCCACTCAGATTTGCGTCACAGGTCTGATAGTGGCACGTATCTGGTGGATGACGCGAAGAACAGGATCCTGGCAACTAAGCTCAAAGTCCCAGCCTTACATGGACGTCATATGGATGATCGTCGAGTCCGGCGCAATATCCGCATTCACGTCCACGCTTTTCCTCGTTTTCTTCAACCTCAAACCGCAGATCAGTATCATTTTAGGGGATTCTCTTGGGCAGATTAGTGTATGCCTATTTTATTTCTGTCTTGAATTACGATAATCTTTATCCTGGTAGGCGATCGCTCCGGCGCTAATCATCTTCCGCGTGGGACTGGGCGCCAAAGTGAAGACGGACACTTTGGATTCGTCGTACGAGCTTCACACGCGCACAGCATTGCACGTCACGGTGGAACATTCAGTATTCTCAGATCAGAGCTATTCAAAGCCTGAGAATGAGTCGGCCGAGAACCGGTCCTGGCAGTACAGGACATAGTGAAGATAATGAAGGATTTTATTTTTGTACTGTGTTTTCTTTTTCTTCTTTCATCGCCTTCGTTTTCGGAACCGCACCGAGGATACTGAATCTGTCGTACCAATTAATATACCCACCGTGATACACTTTGACCTCTGCTGAAAGTGTACAAGTACACTGTCTTTATTATTTATACATATTTTCGCACACAAGCAATCCCGTCACGACTCATAACTGAAATAACCGTCGAAGCATGTTCTACTGTCATTGCCATTCTTCATGCTATTTGCGCTGTCAGTCAAGGCCTTGCTAGTCAACCTGAGTCCTGCCTTCAAGTTCACGTCGTCGGTACGAGCACAAGGATGGCCACACCAATCTGTCAACGTGGATTTGACACCATCCCATGTTACGCTGTCGTGTCTCATCGATTGGACGCTTCTGTTTCATACGCAGGATAGCCGGTACACAAGCATCCGGAGATAAAAATGTTGATTTCTTTGAGTAGGGGCACAGGTAGAGATATACAACTATCGCGAGTAATCATGAGAGTGCGCCTGAGATGATGAATAACACTCTCCAAACTTCAAAAACACGGAATCTGTCCAAGGATTCTAACGCGGGTCCAGTTGCGACGATCAGTGATAGACACAAGGTGCGTTGTCCTAATCCATACCAAGAATTGAGTTTTTGTTCAGTAGAAGCAGGAATAAGGACTAAGATGTTTCCCTAGAAAGAGGATGCGTGATGGTTCGCCACTTCACTGTGGAGGACATTGATAATGCCATCTGAGCGACAATTTAGAACCACAGATACAACACAGACATACTGCCGCTCTTGCAAGAACCAGTTAGAAAAGCTTGTAAATTGGCCTGTTTTCGCCGATTTCATGAACAGCAGGAGATTGAACAAGCCGAGCCGCTCATATCTTGGCCGCGTTGTTTCGGCAGCACCGGCACAACTCGGCCCGAACTGGCTAATTGAAATTATTAAATTACTCTCCGAGGTTGAGACTGATCCCCTTATTCAGCGTCTCCCTGTTTCGACGACATCCACTTACGTTTCCTTGAAACCATATCTTCTTTAAAATCAATGGCAGCTACTGAAGTTGAAGCCGGAAGAGGCCACGCCCCTGAAAGCTCACAGTATCTCCTTTTCCGGGTCTTGAAACCTTGCTGTACGTTCTCTGCTGAGATACTTGGGGTTCTAGAGTTTCTAACTCTCGACTAATGCCACAGTATAAAGTTTCAGTTGTGATGCCTATAGATGAATCGAGGGCGGCGGGTCCACGTATGTGCTTTTTCACGGGACACTACTGCAAGCTACTATCTGGAAGGCGTGCCACGTAGCTATGTTTCCCTCGGCTTTCCACGTCGCGATAATGAACATCCCAGAAAATAATGTCGAATTATTGGCCCTACTAAGTATGTTTGACATATAGCTGTGCTCAAGAGAGTTTACTCACTTGAGAGAAAGGGAATCACGTAGTTATCATCACCGGCCGCCGTGTTTTTGCGAAAAATCTTGCTCTCCGTTCAAATCCAGCATAAATCAGGATTCCCAGATCATGGAGAACGGAAGTATTCTTTGTCGCCTGGAGTGGAGATAGGCCATATGCAGGTAGAGATTTCTGCCTTGTCGTTGAGCCGACATCCATCATGGACTATTTCAGCCAGTGATTGACCGCATGGAGCACTGTGGATTGGTAAATTATACTTCACAGGCACCAATATGAATGCGGGGCAGGGTGGGAGCTATCCATTTGACCAAGTGTGTCCGTCGACTCTGTTTCTCTAAGAAAAGTCATTAATCTCCTAAAGGCATAGGCTGGATGTGTTTATTTCTGTAGGGCGCTTTTACTCTTTTGGTGATTTGCGTTGAATCGCGCTCGCCTTTATGGGGCTCTCCACACACGTACAAAACGCGCGTATCAGGTCTTTCTCGGATCTTCATGCCACATGCGCTGTTCAATGGATGTGGCGCCAGTGAATACCTATAGGCCCATCGCGCTTGGCGTCTCAGTTATCATAATGTCCTCGTTATCTCCTCTGTGAATAACGTACCTTCCATGTGGCTTAGAGCATTAAAGATGAGAGGATTGGGACTGGAAGAGCATACGGCCGTCTTTCTCGTGTTGACGGCTATTGCAGCTCCAGGGGGCAGGATCTGTAGTCGTTGCTCTTTCTTACGACAGTCATGTTTTTCGAAGGTTATCAAACTGTGTCTCAGCGCTGCGTGCCTGTGCAGGGTTCTCGAGCGGTAGTGATCAGACAGCGTCAATGCCCCGTTGTTTCCACTATCCCCCCTCCCAGTCTGCGAAAATCGGCATATATCCATTGATAAGGACATGTAACCGAGTCAATTACCTGCACATCAATGCCCACCATGAGACCTCTCCGCCCACTCCCTCCCCGCCCACTCCCTCTCCGCCCACTCCCCGTCCCTCCTGTGCCTGTGGAGTCCCCTCCCTCTCCAACTTTCTCATTTTACAAGCCCTGCGACGATGAGGAAATAATTATTGAAGACGAATACACCATCGACATTGCTGCCGAGAGAAGGTATGTTCTCTTCAAGCCTACCTAACTTCCAGCTAAACGGCGTGGCGCTAGGTTACTCAGGCGAATGGACCTTCGTGTTGTTCCTACATCCATATTGATAAGCGCGCTCGGTTTCCTTGCGCGATTCAACATTGTCCGATCACTATTCGCCCATTGTAACAATCAAAATTGACATTCACTATAGGGCAATGCTAGAATTCTGAAGGATGATAACGACCATTCCCTCCTCCGGATTGCGGATCTTACAGACCATCAATTCCTCATCTTGCTCGTAGTTTTCCTCGTCCCGTTTACCGTGTTCGAGACCCCGTCCAACTATATGCTCAAACACTTCTCTCCGCCACATTGGTTTGCAATTCTCTTGCTCGGGTGGGGAGCATCCACTATGATCATGGCTGCATCTCGGAGCTATGGTACATTAATTGGCTTGCGCTTCTTGTTGAGCTCGTTCGAGGCAGGTGAGGAGAACGCTGTGCTCATGCTCTTCTTCTGATAGATGCATTTTTTAGGGTTCTTCCCAGGCATGATCTATTTCCTTACGTTGTATGCCTCCCAGTCCCCTTACTTTACTCAATTTGAGTACATCTTCTTGCAGCTGGTATCGACTCGAAGAACGCGGGCTCCGCTTATCACTTATTATAGCATCTGCGCCACTTGGAGGCGCTTTCGGCGGCAGCATCGCATACGGAGTAGAGTTTATCAACGGCGCTCGAGGCCTGGAGGCTTGGCAATGGTTATTCATCATCGAAGGCGCACCATCATGCTTCCTCGCAATAATCGTGTACCTCTTCTTCCCTTCCTATCCTGAGAGGGCATCCTGGCTATCATCACGCGACCGTGACCTCGCTATTGTCCGGCTGAACCAAGAGACGTCAAAGAGTCTAGGGCATGCGAGGATTACGTGGGATGGCGCCAAGTCTACGATAAAAGATTGGCGGCTGTACCTGCATTATATAGTGTTCACTGCGACGTCGGTGGCATTCTCGAGTATATCGCTATTTGCACCGACCATTGTGGATGGACTTGGGTACAGAGGGCTTGATGCCCAGCTATTCATAGTTCCGCCCTTTGCGGTGGCGTTCGTCGTGACTGTGGCGATGTCGTGGGCGGCGGATAGGTATAGGGCCTGGTCAATGTGTGCGATGGTATCGATGATATTGGCAGGGATAACTTTTATCATTCATGGTAGGATTTTTGCATCGTGGCCGGTCCGACGATTTTAAGGGACTCGTATTTTCAGGTTCGCTACCACGAACGTCATTCGAAGCGCGATATACAATGCTCTGCCTAGGAACAATGTTCTCCTATGCTGGTAGTCCCTCGTTGCTAGCATGGCTTACTGGCAATCTGCGGGATACAAATGCGACGACGCTGGCTATCCCGATGAACGTGGCTTTTGGGGCGTCGGGGCAGATGATAGGTCAGTCGCTTTCTGTGTTTCACTTATACAACTGAATACCTTGCAGGAATATTCTTATATAGGTCAAATGAAGCTCCTGGGTACCTGACTGGACATTATACGAATGGGGCTGCACTATTAGTAGGAGCAGTCGGTGTCGGAATCTTGAGGGTCATTTATGCGAGGAGAAACCGAGAGCTGGGTGTCGGACAAAGTCCTTGGATTGTGTAATTGTACATGTGGCACTGAAGGGAAATATCCAGTAGATGATCAGGTCTGTCTAGTCCCGGCTTCTATCCTATTAGTATATCATACGCCATGAACAAAGTGTTCAGGTTTTCATCACACAATGTGATGGAATATATATAGCGAAAGACCTTTCGCCCTTTTCACAATTTCTTGACAATTTCTTTAGTTTTTATCCTTATTTGCCTCTGTGATAACCAGTATCTATGGGACTATACGCAAGTCCATCTCCACCATGAGAAGATAGAAATGATTTTTGGATGTTTTGAGTGATTTACAGGGCCCAACTTTGGCAGGCTCAGGCTCTTCAAATCACAAGCCCAAGCCCACTAGGTCTCAGGCCTGGTCTTTTGATGTTACAAAGAATGGGCCTTTAATAAGCATAGGAATGGGTGAAAACATATCAAGTTGTCCTCCTTTGTGAGCTTGACTAACATCTCCAGCCTGGCCTATGTACAAAGTATACTATCTACTCCGTTGCAGTGACAGCATGACAGTCCAAGTGTCAGTCAGCAATGTTCGTGTCATTTTGTATTGAAGCTCTCAATTATTGATGAGAAAAGGAAAGAAGCATCTGAAAGATTGATTTAGAAAACTGTAGTGCATTCTCTCCTTTCCAATCAACCACATCTTGCTCCAAAAGCCTAATAATTTGGACTTTGAGAGTCCAGATCTAAGCCTTGGGCTCAGGCTTTCAAATAATGAAGCCTAAGCCAGGGCCTTCAACAAGCCTGCCCTTAGGGCCCAGCCACTCAGAGCCTGGCCTGGCTCAGCTCAGAGCTTCAGGAAAGACTCAATCACTAGTTTTGACAGATATGCATTTTTAGGCTCTTTTACCTAATGTGAAGTTAGATTTGATCATTTCATATTAGTTGCATATTCAACTTTTCTGGACACAGTTGCTCCTTTGGTGTGAATCTTGACTAAAACTTGAGACAAGCAATTTATCTCAATGATAAGCAAAGCTATTGCCAGTGGTCATTGATGTTTAAGTTGATGCCAAGACAATATAGCCATGAGCTATGATATAGACTTTGAGATTTGAGAAATTAAGATGTATTTCATTAATGCACTAATTTAGAACTGAAATATGTTACAGCAAAAAAGTGCATCTACTACTAGTCAATACTTACTAAGGATTAACTCAAACTCTGAACTCTTGAAAGTTGCTCAGTGAATGGAATCAGCCTTCTAGAATAACTGTTAGATTTTAATCTCAGCAGTCTTTTTACTGGAGGACTCTACAATATGTACTATGAAGAACAAAATGAAACATGATCTCGATCGACAGATAAGTACCGACGAAGATCGAACTCGCAACCTTCACCTACCAATGACATGATACAATGATAAGAAAGCGACGTACTACCACTGGACTACGACGACTTAGTTAATTTGAGTTTTGCTTACATAAATAACTCTGTTCAAGTTGGGACTTGACGGACATTCGTGAATAAAAAGGTACCAGCCAGATCACGATAATACAGTCTTTAATTCTCCAATCTTTCTGAATATTTTCTTCTGGTACAGTGTCACAGTTCTTCGGACTCTCCGTCACTGCTGTTGGACAATGGCTCACAGACATTTGAACCGAAGCCGTCAAGGAGGCATGTGAATGGATCAAGCAAGATAGGCATCTTATGGCCTCGCTGTCTGCGATGAATACAGCTGGGGTTGTTCTCAGCATAGGGTGCCCTGTTTACCCACCTTTACAACATCCCTTAGAGGACCAGATAGGTGAGTCTCCATAAAGGAGTCGTGTTGTTTTGCGGCCGGCGCTAAACCTGAAGTTATACCCGAGCTTCGTCTGAATCGTGGGACGATGAGCCAATTCAGTATAGACACTTATCCAGGTGCGTACCCTCAACGCTGTTCGGAACTTGTTTTGTATTACAGCGCTCGGCGTTGTCGGTGATAGCGGCTATTGTAGAAAAGCCACGCGCTTTCGCCACCGTCAGTATTACATGTGAGTCAACTCGATAAGCATAACGCTTTGGGAGTACATCTAGGTTGCGGCTGAGAAAATTTTCTAGCTCGTGCTGTTCACTACATTCTAACTCAATCATAATACAAATGTCCAGAAAACCTTTTTTCTTCCGTTCAGTCGGCGCAACAAAACAGACTTTGCCGGGCGCATTCTGCCACACCTTCCTTGGTCTCTTTCAGAATCATAAAACCACGAAAGCCATACTCCCCGAATGTAATGCACGGAGCATTTTTGACTGTTAGTTCCTTTCAGGCTCGCTCTTAGTGCGTTCAATCACATCAAGGGTCAACTAGGATGTAATACCCCACACCAAGATATCCTCTGCTACGAACGAGGTACCGGCTCTCCTATCGAAAATGACATCTGTTTGGGCACAAGGATGATTTTATTAACCATCTTTTCTAAACAAGACATACCTTGCGGAGGTATGTTACACTTCACGACGGAGCGCGTATCTTTCATCACAGGCTGTGTGAGAGTGACCCTGGTCGTTGGTGATTCTCGTGTAATTGGTAGACCGCAGATCTCGGACGAGAGTTATGATGCCATACAGCAGTGATACCGCATGCGACTAATCCATTTGGCTCTGTGGACCACTTGTCTCATCTCATAAATGATATACTGGATCCGTGGTTCCGTTGAGCAATATCCTTTGCTCGTACAGTTCAGACCTACAAGAAGTCCTAAAGGTATGCTTCTTTACTATCATGATAAAAACCATACCCGGCACTGATTGTTCCTTGACCTCTCGTTTCAAGTTCCAGCGCTTAGCCTTGTTCTTCTGGCGAAGGAAAAAGTTCTGGAACCCGAGTTCATGACAACATTAAGCAGCCGTATCACAGAATACAAGGGCCTTCACTACGCTCATCAATACTGTTCTTCTGGACCCACTGAGTAACGTCGTTGTCAGAAAGGATCTGCAGACTGCCTATACCTTCAAAGATCAAGTTCGTTCCGCGTCTGATCATTCAACATTCATTCCCTTCCCTGTTCTCTTGTTCTGCGTTCTCATGCATTCTCTATTCTTGTTCGTCACCTTGTCTTCTTTTGCTCTCAGGTCCCATGGCGCGGGGCGCAATGTTACCATCGACGACACAGATCCTATGATTGTGTACACTGGCACCTGGGACGCGAGTAACAGCCACATCTCTACGTTAGACTTCAATGGAAGCCACGCGCTGAGCAGTGATCCCTCTGCCTCGGCGACGGTCATCTTTACGGGTAGTTGATCGTGTTCCGCGCTGCCAGAATATCTTTGTCTGACGCCACAATTATCTTATCAGGTGTTGCGGTGCACTTTCTCTCTCCCCGATGGCCGTACTTGGTGAACTCGACCATTACTCTCGATGGCGAGGACGGAACGTTCGTGAATCTCACAGATCCCAACACGGAGCAGACAATCGGTGGACCAGAAACCGAGCGGTACACGGCTCACTGGTCGAGGACGGGACTAGAGAATGTTTCGCACGAGGTGGTCGTGTCGATGGCTGCTGCTGGATAGTGTATCGTTCTAGATGGGTTTACGTGGGCTGTTTTCTTTCTGCTCTGTTGTTTTTGCAGCTGAAGATGTCAATAGATATACGGTCGACGATGAGGATGTCACTGACATTACGGCAAGTGGTGGAAGTTCCACTGTGCTGGCTGCTGGGTCTAGTGGTCTGGTCGATCAGGCTTCATCCGTGTCTATTTCCGCATCTCCGAGTACAGATGCTACGAGTTTAGGCGACGACGCCCGTGGTAGCGTCAATTTTCTGGCCGTCGGATTCGGGGTTTCCTTCAGTGTTTTGGCTACGCTTGCATGCATTGCGATTTTCTTGATCTGCCGCAGGCGGCGCATGCGTCTCCATCGTCAGGGTTTTCCATCGTCACAGTCAGCGCCGACCTTGTATGAGCATGTACCCTTAGCAAACTTCATCTCTCGTTCTACTTCTCTATTTTTTGTAGCCAATACAGATGTGGGGAGAGAAGGCTCCACACTCGACAGGTATATGTACGAGAAGAATTCACAGCGCAGAGTCATTCTAGACGATGTGATGGTGCCTCCTCCTGCGTATACTGCCTGACATCCTTCTGTTCGAAGGTTAAGGATTTCCGTATATCTATCGTATTGTTGTCCCCCTTCTGCGGGTATATTTATATTCCTTGTTTATCCGATTTGAAGGTCTGAGTGGGGAGTAAAGGCGTACGGCTTCTCTCTCGCCTGTTCATCAGTGTTATATTGTTATGTATTCTCGGAGGATAAAGTAGCGAATGCTTGACCTTTCTCTGAGGACTGTGTTTTGAATCGATGCCATTATTCTGCCCTGTTAATACGGGATTTGTGTATCAAGTCAAGTATGTACTAGGAAGCTGTCGAGGACTTGGAAACCACATGGAGACGGAGAAAGTGTCATTCAAGAGTGCTTAGCTGTGTATCTACTATCATTAATACTTAGTCATGGAAACATGAAAATCCCAGCATATTACAGAAGATTGTATCCTTAATATTTGTCTTACCGTAGCACTTATACCCTCAGTGGATCAGACGGAGACGTGTCTCTGACACGCGTGGTACACGTGATTTCAAAGCCGATAAAGTCGACAACGCCAAGATGATACTTTGGATCTTACTATTCGACATCGCCGAGCTTCCTGATTACCTAGTAGTGCCTGACATCGACGTTTCCTACCTTGGGCTGGCGCGATACCTGTCCCATTAATTCCTTCCCTCTTTTTTAGTGAATGTTCTCTTCGGGCGGCTCAAGATCTGGCTTTCGAGTTTTCCTGTGGGGATAAAAGCAGACCTAGAATGAAGCACCAGGGGAGGGGACTCAAAGAACCTCTAAACGTGACTATAGCTCTTACGTGCCCGAAGGGGGTTCCTTCGGGGTCGGTGTGGAGAAATTGGGATGCCCATCAAGATCAGATTGGCACGATAGATCACTAACCGGCTTTCTACCATCGATATCCTGAATTCGAATGGTGGAGTCCAAGTGTGGTACGTGAAATGACTATTACGTTGTGCTTAATTGAACAGTTCAGGCAAAGAACACAATGCATATATGTATTTCCCTTGAAGAGCCGACATCCTGATTCTTGACCTTGACGCTCTGATCGTTGCGGTTAGGACCAAGAAAAGGTTTTTTTAACTTTCTGGAAGATCTTTTAACGAAGCAAGACAAGGCACCATTTCTGGTGCGCCTTACCCTCTGTTCGGGGGGATCTTGATGGTACGATATATCATCTCCAATGACGCCTACCGCATCTCAGACATGCTCTACTGTCGCCTTGGTGGCCATCTGTTCCCCCCCAAAAAAAAAATACAAGGTCGCAGAGGGAAATGATGAGTCGCTGACTTGCCGCCGCCGACCATTGCTGTTTACCGTCATTGGTTCTTGATCAGTGGGTACATTGAATTATCTTCGGACCACGTGGCAGTGCCTATCTTGAGGCTGTCAACAGAAGCAGGGTAGTAGCCTCTCCCGTCTTTTCAATATTATGTCTAAATACGACTCGAGCCATACGTAGGCCCTCGTTGCTTCGCTTTTTTTCTCTCCTTCTTACCACCACCTTCTCCTCTCGAGCACATTTTCCGCCCAATGGCGCTACACACGACTCTCCCGCTGACCACTGTCAGCTCATACTCACGGCGCCCAGAAAGCAGGTCTATCTCTCCTCTGTGCGTTTTTCGCGGCGACGGATCATCCCCGTGGCTTCCACCACCGGCAAATATCGCACAGGGAGGCTACAGGCCCCGCTGCGATATAGAGCCTTTTCAAATGCAAGACAGGTCTGCAGGCGTTGCCTTCGCCGACCGAACCGCGTATGCCGACGCACCGTCTCCACCAAGGGTGAATTTTCAATCCAATATGAGTCCATTTACGCGGAGACCTTTGCAGCAGACGACAGTAAGTTCCCAGATCTCTTGTAGTCAACTTTTCCCCCTAATATTTGCGTAGCAGTCCCCCTTTTACACTCAAATCCCCTTGACTGCAACAGCCGTGGCAGGATTCGCTAGCATTTCATCGCGTACTGAATACCCCATGGGCGGAGATTACTTTTACGTTTCTCATCCTGACGACAGCGAAGGAAGATCGTCGTGGCAGAACCATAATATCTTACCGGAACCGACCCTGCTCGATGAGCACCCTTCTTATGAGGTATCGGATATACTTGGTCTTGCGGATCCAACTGTCGGGTCGTCCCAAGTAAGTAGCGATTCTTCTTTTGCACCTCTTCAAGCTGACATGAATTAGTACATCAACTCTCCCCAGCAGCACCAGCTCCATACGGTTCCGAATCATCTGCACTTTAACTACACCGATTCCTTCTCTGAAACGATCGCCTCACCTGTCCCGTCTTTTCCTCCGCCCATGCACGGTTTTTTCAATACCGACGCGCAGAATATCGCAAGCTCGTCGTACTCTGGTCAAGTCGAACAGATGTCTGGTCCCCTCGGATTGTCGCCCAACACGAACGGTGACTCTCCGTCCCCTTCAGCGATGATTCTCGGCCGGAGGGGAAGCACCGGCAGTTGTGGTTCGCCGAATAAGTCCAGCAACCTTGCCTGTTTCTTTTGCAGAGGGCGCAAGATCGCCTGCGGGAAGCCTATCGAGGGCAGTGCGGATATGACGTGCAAGTAGGTGTCGAGTATGCTACGCCTTATTCCAGTATTTACTGATTGACATTTTTTTCTAGTCAGTGCGCTAGAAGACGGTTCAAGTGCGAGTACCCTGCGGAGTCGAGACGCGGGCAGCACAAGCGTTCACCGAGGAAGCGTGCACCGAATTTGGGGCATGAGGTGAATTTTGCTATGTAAAACGTCTACACTGTGGAGTCTTCAGCTTCGGTTTGGACTGTTGTACTTTCTTTCTCTTGGACCACATTCCGCCGGTGACCTGACCCGAGACTGTATTTACGTGAATTTTCCCTGTTCTCACTTGCTAATAGTTTCCATCGCCATTGCACAGTTTTTCTTGTACGATGAATACTCTTTCGACTGTACGATAGATTTCCTCTAGCCTACAATAATCTGTGTATTCATTCAAGTCACGTGTAGGTAGTAATATCTGTGCCATTCATCATTCACGTATGTCTATCTTTCGTTCTTTGTAGCTGATTGACGTAGAAAGCTCTTTGCCGTATACAAGGATGCCACTTCGCTCCATACCACTTCACCCTTTCTCGAGGGCACTGAACGGCACCGAAAATATTTACGAGGGCTACAACAATCCTGACTGGCCGGCTGGACGATGATCACCGGATCGTCGAATTCTCAACACCTTTTAGATTTAGAAGACACGGCGACCTGAAAGCGTCAGGCACACCGGATGTTGATGCTTCTGACAGGTGGAGGGTTCTAATAGGGTTCCTTAGCAATTGATTGGTACTCCTTTCCCACGTTGGTGGTGAGTACGAATCGAAGATGTCCAGTTAACTCTGCACCCGGCTACATAACGGGCCCTGCTCATTGCCTGAAGCTGTTGTTATTTCACCCTTGGGACGCCGGTCAGAGCGAAAAAAAACTTCTTCAGGTGGTATCGAGACGGTTCCATTCAAATTTGATAGACGAATAACGGACTGATATTGATAGTACTGTAGTCGAAAAGCTTGAACTCATAGAAGAGATATAATTGTATCAATAAATGACACTAGAATCCACGTGTCGGGTTTTTGGGATAAGAAAGCGGGTGTCGGCGTCTGCTTCAAAAAGGCAAGTAGATGTCGAAGAGGTGGGTTCGCTACGTTACCTTCGTGTTCAACGGCAGATCTTCTCTTTGATTACGGAAGATAATCCGCGTCGGAAAATTCGCTTAAACGGACGTTGGACATCGATGCTTGTTTGTTTCCCCCCTCCCCTGCCGCTGAATTTCAGTGATATTAAGTTAGATTACCTCTCAGCTGGATCCACTTGTCTTTGGAGTGTCGGTAGGATTTTGAAGAAAATTTTTCCTTCGGTCGCGGACTGGGTCTACTCCAGAGATCGTATAAAAGGAGGAAGGCGCAGGCATTTGGACGATTCAATACCTGAAAGAAATAGTACCTTCGTTTAAGGCTTATATACTTGGTCATCTCTATAAACGTACCCAAAATTGACCCCGTTTTTGCCGTCTCACATTCAGAAGTACATTTCATGCTTTGCCAGTAGGCGTTACAACGCGGCTTCGTTTCCTAGTTCCAACTTAGTTCTAGCATTATCGCAAGTTGACGTTGGATTCATGGCTCAGCAGTCTATGCCCTGGCTGCCTCATGTAAACAAACCAGAGATATTGTCCAAAACTTCAAGCTCAAGCTTAAGAGTCAAATATCGCAGCCGAAATGTTGGTTATTGAATGTCAACATTCAGAGACTGGCAGCAAAGCATGGGAATAACCGAGAAGCTAAGTCTTAGCTACCTCAGTAATGCAGACACTGAAAGGAAATCTTAGAAATCTGGACAAAAGGAGCGATCCACAGCCGCTGTTCAGCGGGTCTGGCATAAACTACAATTTCCAATACTACTGCCGCTGAGCTGGCACGAATCAAGACTCTTACATCTCCTGGTGCCTGCCCTATACCAAAGGCCTTCAGTGTAAACCTCGAGTAACTCCGGTGTCGCTTTTAAACATCTCGTACCTAAGTCTGACTTTCTACCCTTTCCTAAATGTGTCGTTCTGCACAAATATCGGCTCCAAATTTCTCCGGGGCTATACTCACGACCTTCACGGCTATACTCGGTGTAATGTGTCTTCAGACATGTAACAGTTCATTTTCTATCCGGTAAGAATTTCCTTAGGTCTACTAACTATGATGATTATAATGAAGATGATCCTTCTGTTTCCATTCTTTGTAGTGCAAAAAAGATGATATTACAGGTCGTCATTATCCGTATGCGCTTACCTGAGGATATACTGCATAGTTACAAACACATAGAGCTCTTCATTCCTTTGGATTTACTGAACGTATGTGTATACAGAGCACCGAGTTGCCTCTCATATTGTTCGCCGCCCAAGGCCCTGCCACTTCTCATTTTGAGCGCCGCCAGGGCACTTTTCAATTACTGGATATCGAAACTCATTCGTATCTCAATAGAATGTATATGATGGTACGCTCGACGGCGTAGAGTTGATCGTAGGCATTCATTCATACAAGGACATTTGACGAATTCTAGCTGTCACTGTCACTCACAGTACGCACGACTCTGATCATGGTGGCAATGAGTTGTAAGTGTCGAGGGAAATGCCATAGTCCTGAACGCAGATACTGGCAATTCTATCCTTAAGGTTTTGCCTATAACCTAATGCCAGTTTCTGGCCATGGCCTGTATTATAATTAATGATCCTCAACAGAAACAGTAATACATTTCATTCAGAGGTTAACTTTCTCACATGCTTGGGATCCTCAAAAAACGCTTACTGTGAACAGTGAGAATCGAAATGGGCAACAAGGTGGTGGGGAAGAACAATGTAACAGGATGTCCCTGCGACCTGAAACGAGTAGTCAGTGGAGGGTATGCTTTTGTTCAGATATTTTCATAACTAATATTCTTATAGTTCTGGCCATGTAAGTGTTTAATCCTTCTCCAAATTCCTCAGGCTCCAAAAATTTAAATACTCCATGCTAGCAAGCTCGAATAATGCTATTATCTGGTGTGTGTCTATGGTTGCTTGTGCGTGTATTCAGGCGTAAGGTAAGGTGAATAAAGATTAGTTCTAATATGTCATTATAGAACCTTCATGGGCCGTCGTAGCGCAATGGTAGCGCGTCGCTTTCCTATGGTATTTGGAGGCGAAGGTTGCGAGTTCGATCCTCGTCGTCGGTACGCCGTGCCAGTTTTGATCTTTTTCTTTTTTCTAACTTAAAGCTGTTGAACTTTGAAGTTTATGGTTGCGCACGAAAACCCCAGAGGAAGCAGGGGGTAAATTCTGCTTTTTACCGACTCCTCCCCGAGAGGGGTGGGGTGATTTGGTACATCCTTTATCACGTGCATTATCACATGACTTGCGCGCGGCAATTACAGTCTTTTTTCCGGAGTGTTTATCTTCGCGTTTTCAAACATTTTGTCAATCTCATAAACTGTAATGTACCTACACGCATTGAATATATTTGTGAATACAAGAAGAACTAGCTATTGTAGTATTGAACTATCGCGCTGAATTGCCAGTCCCATGATTGGTAAGTTACCTCGACAAAAATCCCGCCAGAGAGGGGAAGTCAGTTACCAGTAACTCACCGGTCAGAAACCCTGGTGTAGCAAAACCTAGGGTTTCGTGCGCAACCCTCCTAAAGTTTGAACTTTGCATTCTGAAGCAAAGCATGTGCATCGGCGCTATAGATGAGGATTTAATCTCACTATCTTGTGTCTGTGCAGACCTTAGTTGATAACAGCAAGTCACTCCGATTTTAGGCCCGTGTGCGATTACATTCTTCCCGTTGTGGAAACTTGCTTTCAAGATTTCGAATCGCTGATGAAATTCTAATAGATCTCTGGACCCAAGATTTCACACAATACTTGATCTCTGCAGAAAGACATTATGTTGATTTGTTTGCAATTTTTTAGTTTCTGTGATCACCAGATTCTCCGAGAAGGATGCCTGAACCACCGCACAGTTAACTCGTTATTCGAGTTGAGTGGACAATGGCTATTTGCCCTGCTTTGGTCCTATGTTGCTTTGACTCCGGATTTTTTTTCTGCACGCGCGCACTGCACAAATTGGTTTTTCGGTTAGTCATACATTCTTTGTTCACTCAAAATCTGGATGACAATTATCCCCTATGTCCATATGGGCCGAAGCCACTCACAGGGTCCAAGCAAAGTCGTCACAATGTCTTAGTTACTTGTGGTTATTTGTCCCTGAAGACAAAAGCAACCCCTTGTCAGGCTTTGACCCGCCGGTATACGCACCTATGTCCGTAAAAGTAAAGATCCCATTCCCCAAATACCCGGGTCTCGCCAGCCGTTATAAAGAACGCCATTTAAGCGTCGTTGCCCTCATCGCCTGCTGCCTTGGTAGCTTATATTGTTCTTTTCACCAGTTCTCAGTCCTCCCCGTTGCCGGTAGTAATGGAATCAGGTCCGAGAGACGACGTGAGTGTCATGATGATCCACACTAGTGGCACTATTTTCGATTGTTGTATCACTAATTCAATTGTTTTATCCAGGCGCTTCAATGCAACTTCTGTCATGAAAACCACGTCCGCACCGATGACCAGAATATTCACGAACAAACACAATGTAGCGACGGTGACGTAGCGGAAAAATCTATTGTCAGAGACCATGAAGCCGATCCTCCCATCGATGCCACCCAGAACATTTTCTCCTGTCTAGATGACGACACAGTCAGTCAGCCATCTACGGACTCTTTTGACGTCCGTTCCCCAACCTGGGACTCTTCGCTAGACAAACTTCTCCAGTCGGATATTTGGGATGATTACGATCCGGATCATTATACTTATGACCCGCTGTACTACACCAAACAGATCCCAGAACCTGAGGCTAGCCTCTCTGACTATCAGATGACATTGTCGCCCACTTGGATTACTCCAGCCTTGATAAGTGCACCGCTGGACTTCAATTTCGATCCCGCGCATTGGTGGGGCATTGACAGCGGAGAGGATCCTTCATCTTCAGATGCGAACGCCGGCACCAGTGAATCCCATTCGTCTTCTACTGTGCCCGCGGCATTGTCGCTTTCTTCTTCTACTTTGGATCTCGATGACCCAGAGACATCAACTTCGTCTTCCTCATTCGTCCTTGGGCTCAATGATTTCGATATGAGGGGAATTTATGTTCCCTAGAATTCTTTTTTGTCAGCACATCGAATTCCCATAATTTCTGTGTCGTCATCACTTGTATACTTTATTAATGCCCCCACACACGTACTTCGTTTTTATTCACTCTGCCTATGGTATAGCTTTCCACGACACACAGTCAAAGTAAGACTTCAAGGTTGTGGCTTGATACGCTGACAGGTCTGTTACACGATCCAAGAATCCAGCCCTGGTTCAAAATCCTTATTTTTTCTCTGATAAATAATTCTTGACAGCTGTACACAGACGGCGCTCATCAACAACGCTGCCCCATTTGTATAATGCCCCGCCAGCTATTCCGGTGCTTCGCTAGGTATGTATATAAGGATTCCTGCCAAGGGTAAGTATACACGCAAGGGAGGCCTCATGGGAAACAACGTATCAATTATCTGCCCACCGTCATAAACACCGTACAGAACGAAATAGCCAACATCGTTGCATTTGTATCCCTTAGACTTCCCCTAAATCACGCCATTAGCGGTGGATAAGATACGACCCAGAACACAATCCATAAGGAGAACATCGTATAGTGCACTTTGAACCACCGCGGCGGTAGGCTACCTGAAATTACCGATAGCTTAGCTTTAGTCGAAGACCCAGAGATCGGGACTTACCCTGTGCAATGAACGTCATACCCACCAAAGCCATTGATACCATTCCACACATTGATCACACTCGGTACCTGTCCACAATCCATGGCATTATGACAGTAGTGTCTGCAAACGGCGGTACAATGAAGCGCTGCCCTCCCCGACCTTCGTATCTCAGCCCGTTGACAATCCTTGGTGCAAATAGTCCTATGCTGGAAGTCGGCACCATCATCAGGACGGTCATGAGAAAGGACAAATAAGCCTCTCAGCATAGATATAGCGCCGTCCCAAGTTACCCTGGCATGTCCCACAGAGTTGGACGACTCCTTTTTCATTCGGCGGATGGCTAGAGCATGAGAGACAAACACCCTGCATTCTCCGGGTAGGAAGGCAGTACGAGATTTACCATCATTGCGAAGAAGCATGGTTGATGCACCTTCAATGATGAATAACCATTGTCACCCTTCCAGATCTCGAGTGCCATCTGGAAGCCTTACTCCGTATGTGAGGGCTCCGCCGAATGCGGATTCAAGCGGTGTGGTTGCGGTTATGATCGAAACTCGAAGAGCACAGTCTCGAAGGCGATACCGGCTGTGGGAAGGGTAGTGGCAATCTGAAGAGGAAACGGGCGACGGAGGGACGGCTGTACAATGTAAATCATTCCAGAAACGGGACCTAGGACCAGTATGAGTGATATTTTGCGAGAGAAGTACACGACATACCTACTTCAAATGCACCCTGTAGGATACGCAGAATAAACAGTGTAATGTAGTCCGGGGAGGCATCCATGATCACAACGCTTGCGCCGCACCCGAGCATGATAAACACAAGCCAACGTGGGGCGGCGAATTGCCGGAGCCATATGGTTTGAGGGAATTTGGAACAGCATAATGAGAGGATGCAAGCCGCTATCTCAGAGACATTCCTAGTCATTTAGATACAGTACTTGGATTATAGAATGTCTCTTATCGGCGGTGAGGATTCTGGCCCTTCCCTGGAAAGTTACGTCAAAAAATCGCTAACACGAGAGATGTAAGGGTGAATGTGTACAGTATTATCGCTAGCGACATACGAAACTGGCATTATTCGAAGGGCGAGTCGTCTGAGTAACCTAGTACAAAGCGGAGTCATCATTCAGTCTAGATTTGCAGCTGGAAATATGTAAATGGCACCTCCTCTCTGCGGCAACATTTATGGCATCGTCTTCTTTCATGGAAATTTCAGCTTCGCCATCCCGCTTGTCAGAAGCTACAGCCGGAATAGTGGACGGAGCACGAGTGCCACTAGACGAAAAAAGGCAGGATTCCATAGTGAGCGTAAATGGGGAAAAGCGAGCTCGTCGTGAAAACATCGGTTGGTCTTTATACCCCATGGAATCTTTGCTTGCAGCTAAACATTGACATGGATAGTCGGAGGATCGAAGGATTTTCGAATTATGACCCAAGTGACGATAAATTTCTGTAAACTCAATCTGGCTACTTCACCCCGCAGATGCTAATTGCTAAATGTCTGTGTGACTTCAAGTTTTTGATCACAAGCTTCGGTTCGCATTTCCGGGGAAAGACAAGTATAAAATCGATTTAGCGGATCTACGGATACAAATCTGAATACGGTGCTGAGGGACTTCATCAAAGGAATATAAATTTAGGTCCTGAATAAGTGCTGTATGTCACTTCGGCGAAAGATCGTGAGCATATCACGGGTAGTGATAGCGGCTTCATGTCCTGTGTCGAACGCCATTGACAAGTATTGCCGGACGGCATATACTTGTAACAATCAGAAAATCGACGTCGTTGTCGTCTACACTTTGAAGCAGTGCGATAGAGACAACGCGCCTGGCATTTTAGTTTCTGCTCCAATAATCTCTATTCCATCCTCTCCCCAACCATGGCCCGAATCCCGGAAGTCACAGCTGATAGTCACGTGTACAGGGTTCAACATCATCAAGTTGCGTTGATACGAGCAAGAATAGCTGTGTTTACTCCTTCCACAGGACAAGCTGTCCCTGGCCTCTCCGCCAGGCCCTCACGTCGTCCAACATTATGGTTAACCTCGAAAAAGTCTGCCATGACCCGGAGGACATAAGGCCCTCCGCGCTGGCTTTTATCGCTCACGGCGGATTGGGTGGAACAATGGATTCTCCGGTTACAGCCGCCCTTGCTGAAACTCTCCAATTATCATTGGGGGCCCGAGTGGTTAGATGGAATGCGCGTGGGATAGGTCAGAGTAGCGGAAGGTCCGAATGGTCTAGTCGGCCGGCGTGGGTAGGCGAGGATAATTGCTCGGATTACAAGGTGTGCCGTTACCTACAATCATCTCCTATACCAGTTAGCGACGTAGATATGTAACAGGACATTTTCCGGGAAGAAATCGTACGATTCCTGGACGACTTCCCTTCTGCCTGTGACTGTAATCTGATCGTTTGCGTGAGCGGCCTTTCTTCTCGTGTCGTATTTTCTAATTGTTGGGTAAGGGATACTCCTGTGGAGCTATCTATGCCACCACCATTCGTATGCCAAATGACCTCGCAGATCGATGTTCAAAGATATTCAACCCTATCCGATACATCCTAATATCTTACCCAATCGCTGTTTCTCCCGTTCTCGGTCTCTTCAGGACGGGGTGGTACTTCCGTGCACTAGAAGGTCTCATTGGAGGCTCCTGGGAAGACTGTCGACACGAAGCACATGCGGATGTGCTCATCCTGATGGGCAAAAAAGAGCTCGGAGGGAAGTTATCGCCAGTGCGGATTTCGTATAATATATGGATGAAAGTACTGAATAGCAAGAGGCGCTCAGAACAGGGAAGGTTTAAGGCTATTGTCGTTGATGGGGCAAATCATGTTTGGAAGGATAAGCTGGAGAACCTCCAGGAGGAGGTGTATAAATGGCTATGATATTGGGTCCACATTTAATGAGCTGCAGAGACTTGGTTCAAGGGTGCAGACTTCTGGGGAAGCTGGGTTTCCCTTGGAAAGGAGGAACTTACGAAATGACAAGGGATTCCGTGGAGGCTCCGAATTACAATGAAATCGAGAAGTAGATGAAACTTTGCATCGGAGGAGATGATCGACGGAAGTAGTATCTTCTACTCCTAGCACATATTATTCTTGCCTTACAGGAGACTTCGGGTAGCGCGATGGCTGGAAAGACGAAGAGGGAAGTTGCGAAAGTATGAGTATGACCACCCGCGGATCACCGTTATATGTATGACGAAAAAAATGAACTAGCACTGTTCGATGATGTTCTGACACCCTGGCAAATAGGCACGGGGAAAACGCGCCATGATACGTACAGTTCCTGGGAAGACCGTCCATTTCTATACCATTTATCCCGAGAATACAGACGATTTTACGACTGCGGGCGGACTGGGCGGCCACAAGACGAAGTCGGAGCTTCTGGCACGTCGAATCGGAATAAGCACACGTTTTCGTTAGCAAATTTGTTTCGGTCATGTAAAGCAGGTGATAAAAAACCCACAGAGTAGGAACATTATCAATGTTCTAATTTACTACCGAGGTGATAGCCTCGCGAAGCCCATAGAAGATAGATTTTGACTCTTGAGAGTAGAGTCAGGCTCAGGGACTTCGGCCCGGACATTCCAGATGGCCAACTGGCTCTGTCAAGTTTCTCTTTTTTTTCACGATCCAGGTTAGCTGCCTCCCGTCAGGTTTAAAGGCATACCCGTCACGAACCAGACAGTCCTAAGTGTTTCATCGACCCCAGTACGCTGTCATTTCCGTTATATCGGGCCCCGGTCCTCAACACATCCCTTCAGTGACTCTGAACTCTTAATTTAGGTACGGTGAGAGTCTTGGACTCTCGGTGCCTTCTGACAGAATCTTTCTGATCACAACAGATATAGTCGGATGCCAACTAAATTGAATTCCTTTTTAAAAATTTCGCAGTGGGATCCTACGAGTTTTCCAATGAACATCTTTCTCCTGTCCGGTGGGTTCCATCAATCGGTACCCTGACTTCTTGGTTTCTTGATTCTAGGAATACAACCCTCAAGATGAAAAAAAGAACGCATCAGGAGTGCACCCCTCTACGCATGGTGCTCTCATGACTAAGAGTGCAATGCATCACCACACTTGGAAGGCCGAGCGGAGCGCCCAGCTCCGCTGTTATAGTGAGGCAAGGACAATTCCATTTGTTCGTTTAGCCTTCCGCCGATAAATCAATAAGCAACTGACAAATTTCCAGCTCAGGAGTGGAAGTATATGAGAGTCTTCAAATAGCCGTCTCTGGAGCACCCCGTTTACGGAAGCTTCGTCATATCACGTTGTCGGCAGGACAATTCTGCGGTTCCTTCCCACTGGTTTGAGGTTCTCAACCTTCTTGTTCTTAGCTGTCAATCATCTCTGGGAACTGCGGAATTACGTCTTCATCTCAAAGGCACTGGCGGCAAAGGCCATTGGCTTTCGGGTACTGTTTCTCTGCGCTACCCACGGCATATCGCCGTATGTTTTCCTTGAGGTTGCCTACTGTATCGACTTAAGTATCAACGACGCGATGTGCCGACGGCTAATTCAAACGGCCCAGAGTTCATCGGACCTTATGCGCTCATTATCCCCTTGGATGGGTATTAAGATGGGAACAGTTATACCATCATGAAGCGGCGGCTATTTAATTGAAATTTCCCCTGTAATTAAATAACCAATTCATTCAGTGATCAGATTTTCATTATTTCCATGATAGATAACTTCTGCGGCTCGCAGGTTTCGTCAGCGTTACCTTTCAACGCCCAGTCCGGAACCGAGGAATGAATTTCGCCGATGAGCACATCGTATAGGGTACGAAATCAGGGGTATCTCTATGTCTAGTGACTTTCGTGTTCGAAGCTATCCGGCGATTCAATGCAAATCTTGATCCTAGATCGATGACTCCTTGGTCGCCGGACTTGAATTCCCTTAACTTCTGCTCCTGCTTTTCCATATTTTCCTTCCAACCATGTACCAGTTTCCAGTCAGTGACCGAAAGCGACTTCACAAAGGAAATACACCGACTCTACCGCAGACAAACTACTGCCAGCTTTGTTCGGCCAAGTTCACTAGGCCCACCCACTTGAGGCGTCATATTCGTTCTCGTAAGCGGCATCTCACCTCCTTGCGATGTAGACTCATCTCATCTCGACAGATACCAACGAACGTAGTCACCAATGCGATGTAGGCGAAGCCACCTAGACGATTCTTCGTCGTACAGACGCTCATCATCATTGCAGTTGTGTGGTGCTCAATTTACCAGAAGAGATGTTCTCTCGCGACACAAGAAATCCTGTAGAGATCGGTGAGTATTGTTTTTCAAGCCAACTACGCGGACGCTGACTTCAGGCGGAAGTATGACATCCAGTCGTTCGAGACAGAAGTCTTGTCAGGTATGTCACCGATTTAGTACCCGCTCTTCCGCAGGTTGACGGTGCCATAGGCATGTGCCGCCGCCAAAGTTAAATGTGATCTCCAGTACCCATGCTCGAGATGTGCTTCACGCCAAGGACCATGCATCTTCCTTAATGATCCTACCGTTTCCCGAGAGAAAAGGCGTGATGCCAAGGAGCATCGTATGAACTCCAGTGCGGACTGCCGTCAAAGCTCAGCCGAGACTGTTTCCGATTCTTGCCTTTCTTCAACTCCCTCCTCCTCGGCCTCAGACGACACTTTGTCGCCTACATTTCGCACCTCGCCAACCATTCCTGACACCAAGAACCCTGGTTGCGGGGAAGTGGTCTGGAAAATATTTTACGCCGATTCGCACCCTTATTGTTCATCCTCGACCTCCAACCAAAAGTACATGGATTTTTCGTGGTTGGGCTCAGACGATGGGTCCGGAGATGACGATAGTTATTACACTTCCGTCCTGCATTCCGCCCTGGTTCCTCATTGTGTATCGACTAACACCTATCCCCCGCTTCCATAGTTAGATGCTACACGCGTTAGTATGTATGATATCGTTGGCGCGGCGACGACCTTGTAAATAAACCATAAATCATTTTGTGCACATTTCAGTTCTTTCTTCAGTTACTAAGAATACCGAAGGTCCTTCCAGATGGCAGGTAACAGGTATATAGGTAGCTATATCGTCTTTCATGCGGTATCCTTCCCCAGTAAGATAGCTCAATACTGGCGACAAAATATTCCTAAATCTTGTTACAGTCTAGTTTCACAAGGGCGTTCGTCTTCGATAAATTGAATGCGAAAGTGTCCCAGACAGCGGTCGACATACGTCGAGAACAGATGTTTACAGAATTAGAATGATGGAACATGTGTCGATCGTAGTCACCTCCAGGTGTTGTGCCCCGCCTTTGGCGGAAAAACACCAAAATGATCTTGCAAGATTCTGGATTTTCCAGATCTTGCTCCGTGTGACGAGCACGGGCCTGGTACCAGATTACCAAATTGCAACTCGGGACGACCGAGCTTCCTATACATATTGTGCGTCGTTGATCGCCGTTAATTTCCATAGTCCAGTCTTTTTGTTGACTGGACCAGCTGGTTGGACGTCGCCATCAACAAGGCGGTCAGACGGACGAAAGCTTAGTAGTGGGTTCACTTTGGGCCAATCTATACAGTATTCAAAGGAGGGGATGTGAATGCATCGCGCTTTCTTCCATGAAAGATGCAATGTATGCGATCTTCGTGTTACCGTGCGACCGTCCTAAGACCGACACGTTCTTGAACGCTAGATTCTTTCACCGAGATGTCGTAAGGGATCCAGCCGCTCTTCAGTGCACTCGGAACTTCCAGTTACCATCGATTCTTGAAACAGCAGTCCAAGAATCAAGATTCCTACTACTGTAGACTCCCTTTGACGTTTCTTCACTGAAACCGTCGATCGTGAGTTACCTGGATAGCGCGAACCAAGGATTAAGAAGCGCGCAGTCCTGGAAGTATCGCTGTCAGAAGAGCCGGTACCGGAAAGCCTGACCAACGGTTTTGATGCCAACAGTTGACCTTTCGAGATCTATTCACACGATATAGGCACTTGAGAATGAGATGTTATATATATGAGTACTCCAACTTTCACGGGTTCTAAAAGACATACATGCGGATAAGAGGTGGTTGCGTCGTTGTCTGTTCTACAGAACTCGAAAGGTCCGGTAGAACCTAGGACGTTAACGTAGTGCAAATCTTCCTCTTATCAAGCATCCCGCATCTATAGTCAATCGGCTGGCTATCGACGACAAGTACAGAATAGTGGGGTAGTATTCATATATTATGCGACGTACCACAAGAGATAATCTACATTTTGCAGAGACTGCCTTGTAGTAATCGGAAAAGCAAGGGAAAGAGCCTAGAGGATCGCTTCCGGCAAAGTTCGGGTCTTTGCGGCGGAAGTCGCAGCACTGCCAAGAGTGCTTCTCTTGTTCCCAAGTGAGTGTGCTGAGCCTTTTGTGCCAGATGATCGTTATTTTTTGTTACCCCGTCGGCCCTCATAGTTTTTTTACAGTTTCGAAGTACGTCTATGACTGGATCTTTGACATGGACCACCCTACTGAATTATTTCTGGAACAGTATTGTACAGGCCAGTAAACCCGGGGTGCATCTGGGCTTCAGCGGCAACGGTACCCGACACGGACATCACCTAGCCAGCGCCGGCGAAGCAGAGATGTCTGTCAAAATTGAGCACACAACTGATTTACGGAAGAGAAATATATGTGTAACCGTTTCCCGTAGTAAATACAAGAGCTAAACACGCTACGTGCTAAGGATGTGGAGTTAGTAGTGCACATTTAATTGTCCGACTTCGCTATAGTGTTGTGCCGATATGTCAAACCCATAAGTCGGCACAGGGTAGGGCTATTTCTGGCCTGACTATTTCTCAGGGCCATGTCCAATATTCTCTCTTCTTCACTGGTGAGAATAGAGTCATTCATCATTCAGATTATAGATGTGTCTAGGTTTCTATGCTCTGTAAGCGAAGAAATGTCGTTATAGGTTCAGGACCATCTCAATTGACTCAGGATCCGGTTCTCAGGACTGGAGAATTGATTATATACTTCATCAATATTGCGAGATGCATTCAAGGGGTACCTGGATTGCAGACCGGTACCCACAGGTGATAGGTACGTTGGTCCCCAAGGGCTGCTAAATTTTTTCTATAGCACATAGTTTTGCCCTGTAGCTGGGTACATTTCAATATTTCTATACAAAATATGTGTCCTTTGTGTATCTGACCCATCTGGAAAGTCTTAGGTGAGTTCCTGAGCCCAAATAACGTGACAAGCGGCTTGAAACAGTTCGCATGGTTCACATACTGGGATAGAACTGGGGCCATTGTTAACAGGCATTTCGACTACACAAAAGATTCCGGCCTGCTCTTCGATTTTTAAAAACGATTTTCCCAGTTATCGCCGAGCCAACGGGGGAACGACACCAGCGTCTCTCCTATCCCAGACGACGACGACGACGCCATTGCTGCTTGAGCAAAATTTGGCCTGTATGTCACGGATATGTGGCATGGCGATGCACGACATGAGGAGAAGAGGAAGATAAAAATAAAGGACCAGAAGCTTCTCCGTATGGAGGTGACCCTCGAAGGCGTCGTTCGCAGGTTCGTGATGTGCTCCAAAATTCGACGAAGACTCGTTGTCACCACTCGGACGATCGACACGTCGGTCTCTCGCTCTCGATTTCGATAGTCCTGATCTTCATGACCCTGAGACGCCGCGCGGGGGGCTGCTGTTCATGAAGGACTATTAGCGTGCGGACTCCTCCACGACTGCCAAAGAATCCGACATCTATCATCTTTTCGCCAAGCACCGAGTCCCCCATGTAGCTGAGATGGAGACTGGTGGAGACATCCCTGATATGGTCACGATTATGCAGGGATATGGACCAGTGTCAGAAGAGCTCTACTGTCCCCTGAAGCTGCAGGCACTCCGGATCTTCTTGAAGACCATCAGGAGAGATCTAACAACATTCTGCAATGTTAAGGACCTAGTGACGTGTATTGCAGATGCCATCGAAGGTGCGCCGTACCATATCATATTTGCTTCATAATGTCCGACCATTTATTTCGACCCAGCTCACCAGCCAGCTTTCGACAGCGCCCACATTCTGCACTGTCATATTCGTGCCGGACTCATCATGATCACCCTAAATCATGGAGGATTTCTCATTAAATCAGATGAGTGCATTATTCTTACGGACCGAAGCGGTGACGACCATTCACACAGAACCGTAGGTTTTTCATAAAATTCCGCCAGCTTGTTTCCTTATATCATATATATCTAGGGCGTCGGGAAATTCATGACTGTTGACGACCCATAATCCGCCTCCTTCACGTCGTCCTCCGACATACCGAACATTCACATTCACCGACTGAACTCCACCACGACTTGAGAATGTGGCTTGAGCGCTCTATAACCGACGTCGAGGGTACATCTGGCGGTTCTGGGAAGATCCACGTGTTGAACCGTTATTCTGCGAGGCCTTGCTTTGCCATCCAGCATCTCAACGAGTTGTTGCGCAAATTGCCCGACGTTTTCGTTATCCGATATCAGTCAAAACGTACCACAGAGGAAATTCAAACACATGAAACATGGACGATTTCGTATTCTGATCGCACTACAGAACTCCCGGCCACCTCGTACTTCACGAAAATGGGAAAACTTGAAAACCCTACCTGGCTTGTCGAGACTTTGCATGTGCATGCGGAGAAGATGAGTGTCCGGCGAAAGGGCAGCTGTGACTGGCGCTACAATGCATGTTACAGCGGGGACGGCTGTTGGAAAGGCTGCAAATACCATTCGGCGGCGATGGCCGGTCTTGATAAAAAGTGGTGGAAAGGCGTGGGCGCTGAGATCCATCGATGAAGTTATGGAGGAACAGCAGCAGACTTATTATGACGATCCGCTTCAATGTTGGATGCCCCGTCCGGTTTCATCGCGTTCAATGTCGTACACTGCGGTCACATCTACCTTCCCAACCATGCTACCCGTATATTGTAGTGCAGACCTAATCAAATTCTGTCTTTTACCTTCTCTTCTCCTCGAAGCTCTGAATTCCCTTGTTAACGTGGGGATAATTGGATCATTATTCTTGTACACTCTATCGGTTCTAAATATTCTATGACCATTGTAGAGACAGAAGCTGGGGATAATAATAAGTATACTATTGTTTTTTAACGCGAGGTGTATGATTTACATGGCTGCAGGGGACAATAAGAAAGGCGAGACAAAAATGTCCAGTACAAGGGGAGACAAATAAACGCGTCAAGTTAAAGTCGTGTCGAATAAAGTTTGTTCGAGAAATTTCTCGGTGTCGATGTAGAGCGATGAAAAAAGCTGCTCGAACGGTGGAAGAGAGAAATCTTCCATTGACGATCGAAAGGGCAAGGAAGATGCGTCATTCAATGGGAATGCAATGAAGGAATAGAGGGCAAGTGCATTGAAGTCCACTGTACTTGACCCGGTGGATAACCCGTCGAAACTAGCTGTGTAGGATTGATCGAAATCCAGGTAAAAGGGAGGCGAAAGTAGCCGAGGTTCGATCACGACGGAGGATGTCGAAGAGATGGAAGACTCGGAGCTGAGATCTGATGATGCAGGCGATGCCGCACGAAGAAAGAAATCAGGCAGTGGTGATTCCGTCATGCCACCGCTGAAATCCATGGATAGTGAGTTGTCGGTCACACTGGAGTCAGAGGGTGAGGAGACCATTTCAGGGAAATTCAAGTCACATCCTTGTGGGGAGGCGATTGGTGGGGGAATTGGTGTGTCCTCTGGGAGCCATGCCTCAATGTCAGATTTGGAGGACACCATTGAGAATGTGATGAATCCTTCAAGCGGGACGCCGGCATTGACACCGGGGTGAAGCTGTTTCCCGGGAAATGTTTTGTGGACGAAATTCGGATCGAGAAACAGTTCGCAATCCTTTCTGTGGCGATGCCGGCCAGAAGCACTGGGTGAAGCGAAGTTACATCCCGGGGCACCACATTTGTACGGCTTTCGCCCGTGCTGGGGTGGCAATAAAGTAAGGAGACGAACGGGGGAAGAGTTCATAGGAGACTCACTGTTTTGAGCAGACGTGGGCGTTGAGGTTGGGTTTTTGCCACATGCGCATGGGACAGTATTTGCATTTGTGCATGCGACTGAGAAACGGAGGGTAAGCAAAAGGTTGGAATGAGAGATAAATCAGATCTACATCTCGGCGTCAGGGAGGTGTGTCTTGGAATGTCGGCTAAGGCCAGTCACATCGGAGTATACCTTGAAGCAAACTTGGCATTGGGTCGGGGTGCGTTTCTGGATAAAAGAGAAGATTACATCAGCATTGGGACAATGGGGTGCCACTCGTGTCTGATATAAAGGGAAGAAATGCTCACGGTAGGTTCCTTGCAGGCAATGCGAGGCATTTTGTTTAGAACAAGGCAATACAGGCGAGGAGGGACTTGCAGAGGGCAAAGGGCAGCAGGCAGCGGGGGATGGCAAAACACCCTGGAATGCCCTGCCTTATATTGGTTTTCTAAGGAGGTGAATTGGTTGTCGGTATATTTACTTTTATGGACAGAGTTGCTGTTTGGGTGTATGGGAGGGACAATGCCTGACAGGATATAACTTTTATGGCTATTAGTCAGGTATCAATCATTGGAATAGCTGTTTTGAGTAATCATGAGGCAATGCTTTGACCATCCAAGTGGCAAGAAGTGGCAACCGGGGGAGAGAGGTGGCGACAAGAGACCATAACACCCAATTTTTTTCAGGAATAATTCGAGTTGGAAAAATGAGTCATCGGGGCCCCAGAGTATAACTGTTATCGTATTTTTTCTTTCCGTAGCCCATGACAGAGCTAGTCATTAGTACATGTAGCTTCTCAAGAACAGCAAAAATTTGACAAGGAAGACCACCGGCCGAGACAAGATATACAGCGATGTGTTCCCTGCATTTTTTTTTTTCAAATCTAACTGTTATATGACTTTCAAACCCGATATTCCAGTGAAATCAAGCGCTAATTACCGGAAATATTGCCAGCCAAAATTCGTCCAAGCATGATCTTTGCGATACTCAGAGGCCGGAAACTCCATTTCAAACTTTCGTTCCCTTAGACGTAGATACATATAACGCAGAGCTTTCCTCACCAATCATTGGTGAAAATATTGCTCAAGATTACCTGCACATTGGTTGAAGAATAAAAATATCTGCCGGCTGATGAGTCAGCGCGCACTGTCTGATCGGATTCGGGTCTTCGGGATGTCACCCGCGACAGTAGTCCACAATTTCTTCTCTTAACCACCATCATCCACGGTATTCATAATACCGCTATTAGACATCGTCAGTTATGAGTCTTGCTATAGCACGTAGAAACATTGGAGGCCCAAGTTGGTATGCTTATCTTCATGTCTATAAGCCAGTTCCTTATGCTCTTTTCCCCTAACGCAGATGTGCTGATGCTGGAAGGTCATTACTTGGCGTGAGGAATGTGTAGACGAAACGGGGAGGCGCAATCGCGTCCGCGTACATATTTTCTACACTATTGTCAACTCGTGCGTCCTACTGCTTCCGCGAAACTGTCTGTTTCGAACTGGCGACGTTGGACCCGAAAGCGAGTCTTATGGCATGACACAAGTCACTGCGAAGTCCATCGAGAGAAGCCTGTGTCAATGGTATAGCGTTGTAGAAGAACTCGTGCGATATGATTCAACGGTTCAAGAAAAGCAGCGGTGGTGGAGTGGCACGTGCGAGTGAGAGTCGACATAGTGATTTGGTCTCGGTGAAGAAGTTGCTGAACGGAACAGACGACGAAGGTCCGTCGTACTGTGTATTTCACGTGTTTCTTTGGCTGACTATGGGGACAGGTCGTCGTACCTGAAGGCACCTACGACTTCACACGCGCAGTACAATCGTCAGCAATGATCGTCATCAGGAGGGGTTGCTATTTGACCTGTAGCCGCCTCGTGGAGCGTTCTATAACTCTGTCTGGAGAAATGCTGTCGTTTAGTCAGGAACAGGGGCGTCACCAGATTCGCATTCTGGGCATGGACGGAGGCCATCAGGGCTGCCGAAAATATACGGGAGGAGGGTTTTACAAGCGACACTCGTTATACAAGAGGTGCATCGTGTACTATATCCAGCCGACGTGTTACTCACATAAAGTGTTTCGCTACAGTCAACGCGCTCTGGCTGCATTCCGCTGTCAGACAGACTCGAACACGGCTACTGTACGGTAGGTAGATATATCCTAATTACTGAAAGTTGTCTCCTAATGCAGATTCTTATGTTGCCTCAGCCATTTGTCGATGCGGATTGCTGCTTGTTAAAATGACAATCAACGGACATCTCTCTCATCATCACCGACACCTAGTCATCTTTTTATCACAGAATCCATCCAGAGGAAGATCCAGCCGTCCCAATTTCGAGGTTCCAGAGTCGCTCTCATGGCGAGGTATGTTATATTCTTCGCTGCCCCAGTCACTGCTGATTCTTTCTGCAGGTCCCTCGCGACGGGTCCCTAGGAGCGAGGTTGATCCCGAGTGTATTGGTGCCTTAATGGATCGACGTAGAATGTCCCAGCGAAGCAGAGGAAGATGAAGAACAGTTCATTCGCTGCTTATAGTCGGATCTTGTGCCTCCTTCTCCACTCTCATGCAACCGCTTCAACGACAGACATATCGAGCTTGCATGCCGCGTCATCGCTTACCATTGTGGAGCTTTTGGTGAATCCAAGTCAAACCAGAGTCACCAAGTAGTCAACGTGCTGGTAGCGACTAACTTGGAGAAACTCCATAGAATTCAAAAATTGTGCCTTGTATTTCCAGTGCCGATTCTGGTACGGGGTTTGATCGTCGTCATTCGTGCAGAGTATCTTCGGTATGTTGATACCGTTTATTGAAGCTGAGTGGCTGACTGATTGTTGATTGTTAGCTTGCTCAGCTTGACCTCTCAAAGCTTTGCTTCCTTCCTCCGCACGAGTCGCATCCGCCATCATCGTTCATCATCAGTTGCTCGGTACAGACAACAAAGGACTATTATAATCGGACTACAACCTATGAATGCGATGCAAAAACTCGGTCATAGTCAATCTACTATAGGCGAAACGAAGCCAAACCAGTATCACTTCGTCGACGCATACCACCATTCTGTTGGCCAGGTCCACCACGTCCATTCTGAGGTGTGCCGCTATTCTGTGGCTCTCCCTGACCAATTGGCGGGCCACCCTGAGGCTGTTGGCCACCGAAGTTGCCGTTACCTCCACGAAAACCATTCTGACCGCCGTGTCCTTGTTGTGGGCCGCCCCGATCTCCTTGACCACTATTCTGGGGTCCCGATGGTCCGTTTTGAGGGCCCTGTTCGGGCTGTCCTGGATTGTTGCCACCACCCTGACCCCCGTTCATCCCCGGAGGTCCGTTCTGGCTGGGTTGCTGGCTGTTATTCAATGGTCCTTGTCCTGGACCACTGGATCCTTGTCCGTTTCCTCTTGGTGGATCGCCTCCCTGGACATCTCCTTGACGAGCGCCCAACGAAGTTTGGGTCTTGATTGAGCTGAGAATAGTCTGTAAAGGGTAATTCTTGCTTACCGCTGGGAGAGCATATGTGGAGAGCGCCATGGTGAGGACGATGTGTGCTGCGTAGATGCGCATGATGAATGGGGAATAGGATGTGGAAAGAGAGAGACGGAGAGTTGAATCTGTAATGGACCGGCCAATACAGAGGATAAAGCACGAGGCTTGACGAAGAATCGGAGTTTCTTTTCCTGGCTTTTTATACCTGGGCTGGTACATGTCAATGTTGAGTTGATGTGTCGTGGGTTCAGCGGCCCTTTTACGAAGGCCGAGGATCAGTCCGCAGTACGTTGTCACCTTGGAGAGGGTGTTTTGGCATCGGTGTTGAAACAAGTAGTGGTACAGCTATCGTGGTATCGATAGTGAGTGTATTGCTTACCGTCGTCCAATGTCGTGAGCTGCAATGTCTTCGAGTTCTTTTCTGGATGTTAATTTAACGTCTATGGGCGTAGTAGCGAACAGACTGGGAAATCTCTGCATCCTTAATAAGCATGTAGAAGATCAGATTATTACACTAGATTACAGTGGTAAATTATTTGTCGTTGCTGTGATAGTCCTCTCTGATTGACAGTAGGTACAGGCACCATTGTAACAGATGGATCTTTGCAACATCTGATGTGCACATCTGTCGTCCGACTGCGGAAGTCGGTGTATCAAGAATGATGCATTTCGCGCGCTAATCTTTACACCACCCACCGCGAATAAGGGAGACAAGCTGGAATCCGTCAGTGCCAAATAAACCACAAGTGAGACGATGGGATAGGTCTGCGGTCCAGCCTGCCTGTGGCCTTCTCGACGGTCTCCTTTGCAGAAATATCGGCGATGTCCAATTGAACATATCTAACATCAAGACCGTGCTCTTCCTTGAGTTTAGACCTAAGATCGCAGTCATCATCAGCATAACTGGGTCCCACCGTCACAGCTAAAAATCCACTCACTGCGCCTGTTTTCCAAGCTGCTTGATTCCCCGATGACAGGTAAATTGTACAACCCTTCTGTTCCAGGAGCGTCACAAGATCGTATCCAATGCAAGTCTTCGAGCCTGTGACGAAGATAACGCGCTTGCATTGCAGATTGCTTCGAAGCCGTTTGCGGCACCTAGTCTTATTACAGAAAAAGGTATCGCATGTTATACCGTACTATGCCGTATACGAAAAGAGGATAGAAATGGCGTAATTTCGAGGATGATTAAACTCCACACTTGCGCAGCGCCAAAATTGGTACTGAAGCAATCACGTGGATGCCAAAGAAATCGGCAGCGAACGGCCCAACCCCCGAGGCTGTGGTCACTGGCCCTCCCCGCGCGCCTTCACGCGCCCGCGTCTTTCTTCCAATGTCATCCTTCTCTCCTGTAGGAAGATGCCCAAGATTATTCGACATCTCCGTTAGTCCAGCCAGTGAACCCAGGTGTAGGACAGGACTGTGGGCTAGGACCCAGGAAATGGCGCTGGCGGGTCCGAGGAGGCCGAGAGCGACTATCTACATCGAAATTTTTATGACGACATCATGACGGCGTTGATATTATACGCATCGTGCATCCCGACAGTTATAAAAGGCGCGCACTTCTCGACGATGCCCCAAACCTTTCTTTCTTCCCCAACCCCATCACGCCCTTTCCCTTTCCCTTTACCACCTCCGACCCCACCGACATATCCGGCCTTTGAATCCTTTTGCCTCCAGCGTTGTTGTATGTACTGCTGGCCGTTTGCTTAGTGCTTCCCACACATCGACCTGTCGTGCTTTCTGGGTCGTCAGTCATCCTTGGTTGGTTCTTTGCAGCGCTTCTATGTCACGCTGTCGCGCTTGTTCTGTCCTTATCAGTACTTCCCACGCACACGTAGAGAACGCGCATATAAGCTGACCTTACCTGGCACTCTTCGATCTACCTAATCGTGCACTAGACGCTGGTTGTGCATTGCCCGCTTTGATGACGGTATCTCTGTACAACCATGTCCATCGATACTCTGGGCTTCCGTGACGAGTTCGAGAGACTTTCCCAGACATAAGTCCGGACCTTGCGGTATACTCGTAATTCATTTGCGGGAGAAGACATCTCTCTTCTCCCCAAATTGCCACTGGTTCGTGCTTCGTTATATCATCTCGACTGTTCTGAAGATCTTCCACTATTTCTATAGTCGGTGTATCAGCGTATTCCGGCACTTATTCCGAGAATATTGCTTCACCTGACAAACCCTGGTCTCTTTCTTGCCGCGTTCAAGTTCCCTCAGTGTCGTTCGGCAGTGGAGTGTATGGATAAGCTACCATTGAAATGCATTTCTATGAAAGGCAACACTCTCGTAAGATGTCAGCATGTGTTCTCCGTTCAAAACCAAAGCTGACCGCAGATAAATTCCAAGCGTCTCCGACATGACGACCCGGGTACTACGAATTTCAAATCTCAAAGGGGCGCCTCCGATGAACCACCATGGCCCTACAAGCGTACATCCTGTGATCACGTTCAAATGTCGCGGAGGACGAAACCGCCACCAGGGTCTCCGCTGGATTCTATTATCCCGAGGATACGATCCTATGACCCTTCCTTCCACGGGTATGTATAAAGCGATAAAGCGACGTGTTCTGGTCACCTTATCACCTGCTGTTCATGTTATCTCCTAGCGCGCCCACCTGGTACGCTCACCAGTGACCACTTCCGCCTCGCATGACCGGCCTGATGACCTTGATCGCTTAATCATTGATGTACATGCCGTCGACCGTCATTGTCTTCCTTTGTTCGCTCTCCGTTGTTGGCCGCTCTTCGCATCTTCGGATTACCACCTCACCGAGACGGCTCGCTTTCATCCATCATCGATAACCCACCACCATTTGAACTTCCGCCGACCCGATGACCCTACGATCAGGATCGAGGACGCGGAGAGTTAATACCCCAAGACTCGGCTCGTGATCCCCCTGCTTGCATATAAAATAGTCGACGCGTGCCCGAACAATCTGTCCTTTCTTTCCCAAGTTTGTTTCTCGCACAGCATCCACTGAACATGTGCGTGGCGCTCAGGCTTAGCCCTGCCTATATACCCGACTATTCCTTTTTCGGCGGTCTCGCTGCATATCCTCTTCTCCCACCCCGCTGGACAGAATTACATCTCTTTCCGGTATCACTCTGGTCCGTGTGTGACCGCGACCCGATGACCTTTAGGGTATAAGAACACGATTGTGCAGTAATTCTGGGTTCTCCTTTCCCTCCGTATCGATATCCACTCTCTTGCGTAGTGTCCATCTCTCTCTCCTTCCCCTTCCCCCCCCCCCCCCCCCCCCCCCCCCCCGCCGTATTTACGCATCTTCATCCTGAGTGCC